TCTGTGTAGCTTTGTGCCTTTCCTGGAACTCACTCTGTAGCCCAGGCTGGCCTCGAACTCACAGAGATCCGCCTGCCTCTGCCTCCCAGAGTGCTGGGATTAAAGGCGTGCGCCACCACCGCCCGGCTTCAGATTTTACTTTTGCTATATCCTCTTTCCCTGTATATTTGTTAACTTCATAGTCTTTGATGACTGATGGGATTTTCTTACCTGCTACATTTACATGGCACATACCTCTGGGATTTGTTGACCTTGTCCAGAAACATACACTACCTGTCACATTGAGGTGATGGAAGCATTGTAAATTGCAATTGTAGTGATAACTGAACAGCCATGATTTCACTACAACTCACTAGTACTGGTAAATAAAGTGGTTGAGTTTTATGGTGTATGAGTTATTTCTCAGTTTAAACTACAGCTTGTGAATTTAAAATAAGAATCTTGTTAATAAAGGAGTTTGAGATTCTGTCTTGATGACAAGCTGATAAGTAAATGTAGGAATTTTGCTTGCAATAGGTTAAGTGTTGACTGGTAAATAAATGTGTAGTTAGTGGTGGAATTAGAGGCATTTTGTAGTCTCTAACTTGGAGATTTAATCAATTAAAAATGTAAGGGGAAGATTTAGATCAAGAATAAGATATTTACTTAGTCTATAAAGAGTTCTATGAAGACTGCTTGTTGTTAACGTGAGAAAAGTAGTAGAGAAATTGACCAGGTAATAAATGGTTTCACTAGTAAGGGGCAAGTAGTAATCCATGTGTCTCTACCAATGACACCTTGACAAAGACATATCTTGTTAGTAATATTCCTGCTGAGAATGGAAACTCAATTTATTCATAGAGAAATTCAGACAAACTTCAGGTGGGAAATGAGCTATTAAAAAAAAAGGATAATAGGTTTGTATTGAAAAATGTTAAGGCTTGAGGTAGAACAGTGGAATGTGGCAATAGCCTGTGTTGTTTTGGGTGGTGGGCAGTTGAGGGCCTTTGCTGACCTACAACTAATAGGTAGCCCACGCTGGGCAGTGGGATTTTCAATTAATTTTAAATGTATTTTTCTAATGTTCCTTGTACTTGACTAATAATTTATTTAATGATTTTGTTTTTTCCTCAGATTTTGGTTTTCCTATGTTCAATTTCCCAGTATATTTGTTAACCTTGTAGTCTTTCTTTGAAGATAACATTTTTCCCCCCTCCCCTCCCCTCCCCTCCCTTCCTCCTCTCTCCCTTTTTTTTGAGAAAGGGTTTCTCTGTGTAATAGCCCTGGCTGTTCTGGAACTCGCTCTGTAGATCAGGCTGTGATGTGCTTTTCTTACTTGCCCCATCTCCTGGGAGAAGAGGTTGACCAGGCTCTGAATTAATACTGGAAGAACTGAAGTGGGGAACCTGGGGATTCAAGGCAGCTGAGAACTTGAGCAGTTTGCATGGGCTCAATTTTATTATTACATCTCCTTGATAACAGAGTTACGAGTTTACAGTTCAGCAGAGAAGCCCGCTTCACAGGCAGCATGTTCAAGGTTATATAAAGCACATCAGTGTTACTTGTTTTAAGAAAAATGTCTTGAGATATGGAACATTATTTGCCCTAATTATTCTGTAGAAATTGAGACAGATAGAAGGCATTCCTATGCTTCTTCTTGCATTTGTTAGCATTCCAAATTCCCTTCTTGAGAAATAGCAACATCAGATATTCTTTTTTTTAAATATTTATTTATTTATTTATTTATTTATTTATTTATTTATTTATTTATTTATTTATTATGAATACAGAAGAGGGAGCCAGATCTCATTACAGATGGTTGTAAGCCACCATGTGGGTGCTGGGAATTGAACTCAGGGCCTCTGGAAGAGCAATCAGTGCTCTTAACCTCTGAGCCATCTCTCCAGCCCCAGATATTCTTATTCTATGTCACAAGTACGTTATATCCTCACATAACTTTCAGTTGAGCCCCAGTAGTCTGAGTTTGAATATTAAAGAGAAAAAAGGCTGCAAAGACTAATCGTGGTTTATTTGAAAGACGGGATAGAACTGTGGTAGAGTTCTTTGCCTAGCATGTAGTGAAGCCAGATTCAATTTCCAGTACTGGGGAAAAAATCAGTGTATGCTTAGTTGCTCATTATTTGATACTATGTTAAAGTCATTGAAGAAAGTACCCCCCCTCCCCTTTCCTCACCTGTGTTAGGGATTGAATCCAGAGCTTTATGTGTACTAGGCAGACATTGAGCTGCATACATCTCTGGCTCAAGCTAGTTCTCAAGGAATACATCTTGGAGAGTTGTGTGACAAAGGGCAATGTATGTAATTCACTCTGCATAATTTTAGAAAAAGTTCGATTTGTGTGTGTATTCAGAGAGTAGCGTTTTGTAGACAAGCAGAGGATTAAGCAAGAAGGGCAAATCTTAACAGTAAGGGTTGGTAAAGAGTATACAAGGTTCTTGGTATTAGCTTAGTAACTCTGAGTTCAAAATTAATTTCCTCCTCTTTTGGTTTTTTGAAACATGGTTTCTCTGTGTAGCCCTGGCTTTCCTGGGACTCACTATGTAGACCAGGCTGCCCTGGAACCCTGAGATCCACCTGCTTCTGCCTCCGGAGTGCTGGGATTAAAGATATGCCCTGCCATGGCCCAGCTAAAAATTAATTTCCAATAACAGTTTTTCAGAGAAAAGTGTTTTAAAGATTTGTTTTTTGTCTATTTCCTTTTTGTTTTTTTGGTTGTGTGAATATGGATTATGCTAATGACTTGATTTCATTTGTTAAATTTTTTAGTTACATAATTGTATAGAGTGTTTTCATTGTGAAGTTTTCATGCCTGGGGATAAACTCCTTTGACTGCGTTTCTTTTTCTCTGCTGTAACCTGCATTGTAGGCTTTGTGGGAAGGTCGAAGAGACGACTATTTATGTGCATGCTTGAGTTCGAGGTTCTCAGCGTGATTGAGATTCAGTACTAAATGTGGACGAAGACGTTGTCTTAATACTTGAGCTTAAAACACTGCAATATAGTTGTACTCATTGAAGACTTTTCTTTTTTTCAGAAACTACAAAATGACAGATAGCTTGGATGAATTTATTGAAGAGCAGAAAGCAAAACTGGCCAGAGACAAAGCCGAACTGGAAGGTGATCCACCTTACATGGAAATGAAGGCAAGATGAGTAATTGTCTGGCAGCAACTTGTTCCATCAACTTGGATGTGGGTGGTACATTTCTTTAATCCCAGCATTTAGGAGGCAGAAGCAGGTGGATTGCTGTGAGTTCAAGGCTAGCCTGATCTATACAACAGGAATTCCAGGCTAGTCGGAGCTACATAGTGAGACCCTACCTTACAAACAAAGAAACAAACAAACATAGAAATACCCGCCCCCCCACCCCCCCCAGCCAGCAGTGAAAACACCAGCCAGGCGTGTTGCACTGACACATCTCGGAGGCCCCACCAGTGGGACCCTCCAGTCTTGTGCTTGATTTGATGAGCACACCATTGTTCTGATTTGGAGAGCCTGACTAGACGGGAATTGGGAGATTCTGAGTTCATTTTTGGTGGGATTTTATATCTCACAATATTCTCTTTAGTTGGAGTTTTAATATGTTTTACCAAGATGAATAGGAGTCAGAAGGACCAGAAGTTAAGATGTAAAAGCAAGTTCTCAGATTTTTATGTGAAAAGGAGTATTTAATGAGTAAATATATTTTTATATAGTATTAGCAGATTTTTTGGAGTAATTTATTTTGTACTATGTAACAAATCTTTTCTGTCCCTCCAGCTAGCACCCAAATAATGACACAGAGACTTCTTATTAATTATGAGAGCTTAGCCTGTAGCTTAGGTTTGTTCCTAACTAGCTCTTATAACTTATTTCTATTAATCTACGTTCTATCATGTGGCATTACCTCTCTTCCATCTTGTACCTTCTGTTTCCTCTCCATGTCTCCTGGTGTCCCCTGTGCACCTAGATTCTCCTCCTTTCTCTCTCCCTGGAAATTCTTCCTATACTTTCTGCCTAGCTATTGGCCATTCAGCTTTTTATTATACCAAATTACATCTTCACACAGTGTACAAATATCCCACAACAGTACTCTTTGTTTTCTAGAACAAGTATGTTAATAGTTGTTTCTGAAAAGCAATGCTGGAAAGTTCTCTTAAATTGTTTTTCATTTTGACATGAATGACGGATTCGTTTAGCCAATACTGAGATTGTGCTAGGAGCCCTCCTGGGCTCTGGGAACTACTCTGATGCAGACGGGGGTCGTCCCTCACGGACTCAGTGTGTGGTGACAAGACACCGTCTGTACCATATGTCTGTATAGAATGGCTCGCCCAAGTCTGCCTTACCTTTTTACCAGTGTCTCATCTGGGTTAGCATCTGTCCCACACAGAGATAACCAAATTATCATCAGATAATTATTTTATATATCAATTTTATCTATAAGTTATCTATATAAATTTTATTTATATAGGTTAACATATGAGTGGTAAATATGGATATGGCATAGCCTTAAAAGGTTATATTTCAATGTTCTATTTCTTAATTATAATTTTTTAGGTAGGTAAACTGAGGCATTTGGACGTTAATGAGATGAGATGCTGGAGTTGGTAGACAGTAAGTGCTCGTTCTTTTAAGCACTGCCTGTGGCTGTCTTCCTTCCAGAGAGTCTGCCGTGTGCAAGGCGTTACATTAGTAGCTGTGTGTAGCATTTCATGTGTATAGCATTTCATTTAGTCATAACATCTTTATCAAGTAGAGGCATTTTGTTTTGTTTTAGAGATGAAGAAAATGAGGCTAAAAGGAGTTAAGTAGTTTGTTCAGGTAGACACAGGGGGATTTGGGTTGGTGCCCTCACCCAGTGGCAGGGCACACTCATAGTTATTTGATATACGAGGATGAGTTTGCATGTTTGAGTGTGTTACTTTACAGCTTTATTAAATGACCTTTATGTACTAGTTTAAGACTCACTGCGTGTTGGGGCCTTGCAGGCTTTCCCTCAGTGTATCTGGGCCTTTCAATCTTGATCTGTCTTTTGTCTTCAAGGACCCTCCCTGTCGGGAGAGGGAGAGAGGGGAGGGAGAGGGAAAGAGGGAGAGAGGGGAGGGAGGGAGAGGGAAAGAGGGAGAGGAGGAGAGGGAGAGAGGGGACAGAGAGAGGGAGAGGGGAGAGGGAGGGAGAGGGGAGAGGGAGGGAGAGAGACGAGAGAGGTATATGTTCATGTGGGTGTCCACAAGTGCATTCGGAAGGAAGCCTGATGTCCACAGTAGGTATCTTCCTCTATTACTACCACCTTCTGTTTTTGAGATGGGGACCTCTCACTCAGCCTGGAGTTTATAGAATTAGCTCTGCTGCCTGGCTGATGAACTTCAAGATCTATGTGTCTCTGATTCCCCTGAGCTCAGGTTACAGACACATCTGTTGGGCCTGGCTTTTACTTGGATGTTGGGAATCCAAGCTCTGGTCCTCCAGCTTGCAGAGAGCGCACTTGACTGACTGAACTGTCTCCTCATGCCCACTCTGAACATCATGCAGTCTAACTAACTATTATGTTTCTTTTCTGCCCCCCCCCCCCCCAGCAGTGTATAAACTCTATAACAGAAGCTTTCCGCTTTACTCTTACATTTCTAGTGTCAGGCACAGTGCCTGGCATTTCATAGAGATTCACTTCTTTGTAAGAGAATTAGTTAGGTACCAGAACAGGTGTTACAGTATGTAAGTAATTTCTGTTACTTTCTCAAACTTGACTTCAATCCCTGTGCTGTGTAATTTTTTTCTAAGTTATTTAGTATGTTGAATAAGTTTTGAGATGAATTGTACATTTTGTGGCATTCCCCTTTGATTTGTAAATATCTTGTCTTTTCCAGGGAAAGGCATCAGAGAAACTCTCTGAAAGCAGCAAAATACTAATCTCTATGGCTAAGGAGAACATACCACCGAACAGCCAGCAGCCCAAGGGATCCTTAGGTATGGTACTGCATTTGTAGAGCTGATTTTAAGATCGACTTAGCAGGACACTGTGAAAGAGGTTTGTTTCTCCAGGAAAAAGAGATTTCTTTGGAACTTTACTTTGGAATCTTACATATGGCAATACAGACTGCATATGAAATATAACGTGGAGAACTTTCTGGTTGTGATTGATGGAAATAATATTAGAAACTGTGTGACATACTAAAAATTAGTAACAAAATTTAAGAAAGTTTTGAGTGTGTGTTTTTCATGAGAGAGCTGTTTTGGTGATTAAAAATGATAGACTTGCTTTGTTTAGAATTCAGAGGGCCTGGCAAGATGGCTCAGCTGGTCAGGATGCTCGCCACCAAGTCTGAGGACCTGAGTCTCATCCCTAGCACACATCCCCACACAGTGGTGTGCATATATGTATACAAATCCATCATTTTAATAAGAAAGAGTCAAGCAAGTATAGAGTATATGAAACGTTATTCGGGACCATGTTTTATGTGGATGTGCGTGTGTAATTGTCACATGGAGACCAGAGGCCATCCTTGGGTGTAATTCCACAGCAGAGATTACTTTGGAGATAGGCTCACCGACCGGGAACTGAGCTTGCCAGTTGGACTGTGCTTGTTGGCCGTACTGCAGAGGGTGGGTTCCACTCGTTTCTTCCTGATTCCAAGCCTGCACCACACCCAGTTTTCTATATAGGTGCTAGGGATTGAACTCAGGGCCTCATGGCAAGCTCTTCACCCATTAAGCTCCTCAGCCCAAGGACCATCTTTCTATTGTTGATGACCAGATTGGAACTATAAAATTAATACTACACCCATACTGATTTTTAAAATTATGTCTTAGTATGAAGTATTTGGAAACTTTTTAAAAACTAAATATTAGCATACATGCAGGCAGAACATTGTATACACAATAAATAAATAAATAATATAAATAAATACAACTCAAAGTGATTGTCCTAGTATTGGTATCAGATATATAGGTAGCTCAAGTTTGATTCTTACAAATTATTAGCTGATATGCAACTTTGGGGAAATGAGCTATTATATTTTAGTAAATTTTCTTTTTTGTTTTGGTTTTCTAGACAGGGTTTCTCTGTGTAGTTTTGGTGCCTGTCCTGAATCTTGCTCTGTAGACCAGGCTAGCCTCAAACAGAGATCTGCCTGGCTCTGCCTCCCAAGTGCTGGGATTAAAGGCGTGTGCCACTGCCGCCCGGCTAGTAAATTTTCTTAATCTCTAAACTCATTAGTTTCATTAACTATAAAGTAAGATGGATAATACTCGGGGCTGGAGAGATGGCTCAGTGGTTAAGAGCACTGGCTTGTAGATGACTCGGGTTCAATTCCCAGCACCCATATAGTGGCTTATAGATAGATGCCTGCCTGTAACTCCTACTTCAGGGATCTCATGCCCTCTTCTGACATCCACTGGGACCAGGCACTCACATAGTGAAAAGACATACATGCAGGCAAAACATTCATAACAATAAAATTAAAGATGTAAATATAAAATACAATAAGTTGGATTATTTTCTTATTTGAAATTTGTATGAATTAAAATTCTAAGGGATAATTAAAAGATTTAATAGATTATTTTAGATACTAAGTCATTAAGTTCAGGCAAAATCACTGAAATTCTGGGGTTACAGTTTGACTTGATTGGCTTGACATGGCTTTGTGATGTGGCATGTTTATTTTTTTTCAATGTCTCCCAAGTTGTTGTGAACAGTAATTGAATATGTATGAAGAGATAATTGACATGTAGTTGGGCCACGAATAATAATGTTTCCTTGTGTTTTATGTCTTCTGCAAGGGAGTTATTATCTGTCCCTTATATACAAGTATTATTCTAAAGTATAATATGCAGCAGCCTTTGTCTGTTCTTCAATGGGAGTGACTTAAGAGTTCTGACCTTTGCTTCACAACTCCCCAAGTGACTGCGTCCACTCACAGGACGTTGTGTTTTCCAAACAGTATAAATCTGATTTGAAAATCTGTACTCAAATCTCAGTTTCTTCTGAATCTTATTTCCACCCCAATTTCTTTAATGAACTTCTTACTTCCTACTGACTGGATGCTTCTGCGTGGCTATCGTGGCCTCTCAGGTTTTCTGATGCTTGCCTTCTTAGCGAGCTGCTTCCTCATTCCCGACTCCCCTTTTCCTTTGCTTGTCACATCAGATGATTAGGAGGGACAGTGGACTGAATAGAATAGAATTCCTGCTGTCGAGTTAGTTCATGTTTCTCTAATCCCACTGATATTCTTGTCTTCAGGTTTCCATTCTCTAGTGCTTTGATGACCTCCTGGTGTTCTTTTTGTGCAGCCCTATTACATCTCTGCATGCTGTTTGGCATCTTTTCTAGAAATGAATCTGATATATTAACCTGTGTGTCAGACGCTTCAGTGGCTTCTCCTCCTGTCTAGTTTTAGCTTTCACTGTTGGGTGGGGTGCGCATTTCTGCTGGGGAACTATTTCTGCAGGCTGGCACAAGGCTTGGCACTTACTTGCTTATAAAAGATATTTTGAATGAATGAGTGAGTGTTCTCATTCTAGAAATAAAGTCAGTTCTCTTGGGAATATGGAGTTTAATTTTCATGGGACCTTTTAAAAATCCTCAACTAAAATAGCTAGATTTGATTTACATTGAATATTACTAAAGAATGCTCTACAACTTTGTCCTGCTTTGGGTTACTGTTGCAATTATAAAATACAGTGACCCAAAGCGCTTGGGGAGGAAAGGGTTAATTTGGCTTACATATCTTGAATCACACAGTCCATTGAGGGAAGTCAAGGCAGGAACTGAAACAGATCAGGAACATGAGGCAGGAGCTGCTGCAGAGGCCATGGAGGGCTGCTGCTTACTGGCTTGTTCCTCTTGGCTTGCTCAGCCTCCTTTCTTGTAGGACTCAGGACCACTAGCCTTGGGGTGGCCCTACCCACAATGGGCTGTGCCCTCCCCATTAATTAAGAAAATGCTCTACAGGCTTGCCTGTAGCCTGATCTTATGGAGGCATTTTTTCCCCCATTGACGTTCCCTCCTCTCAGATGACTTTAGCTTGAGTCAAAATGACATGAAATTAGCCAGCACAAATTTATCTTGTTTTGTAGTTTCAAACTGGATTACTTGTATCATTAAAATTATGCCAGTGTGGGTTTGGGGAGCTGGCTCAGTGGGTAGAGTGTTTGCCATGCAAGTGTGAGGACCTGGAGTGGGACTTGAAGAACCCAGGTGAAGTTGGCATGGCGCCTCACATCTGTGACGTCAGTGCTCCTAGGGTGAGATAGGAGGCAGAAACAGAATTCTTGGAAGCTTGCTGGCCACTCGCCTGGAATACATATGTAGTGGCGAACAGTAAAGAGAACCTGCCTCAAATGGTGTCTCCCCTGTGTAGGGTGATCTTAAATTCTCATCTAATACAGGTCAATTTGGAAATGATGTATCATCTTAAAGTCTGTGACATCATAGTTAAATACAGTAGTAGTAATCAGTAATATATGAACCCCAAATACTCATTTTGTCAGTGAAAGCTTTCGATGGCTTAATGTCTAAATACCAAGTAACAAAAAATTTTATGATTTTGCAAATTCATTTCTTTAAGATAATGATGATATACTTCTAAAAAGATTTAAGGTAGATTATAATGTCTTCTGAAACCAAGTACCTAGATTTGGACTAGATAAACTTCAGTGTTTAAGAGGCAAATTTGCCACAAGAGTATCCTACACAAAGGCCTGGAGATGTAGCTCAGTGGTGAGGTGTTTGTCAAACGTTTACGAAGACCTGAGTTCCAACCCTAGTAACATATTCTCTTTCTCTCTCTCTCTCTCTCTCTCTCTCTCTCTCTCTCTCTCTCTCTCTCTCTCACACACACACACACACACACACACACACACACACGTTCTCTCCACCCCCCACCCCCTTCCTTCTCTTCCTCCCCTACTTTTCCTCTCCTTCCCACTCCCCAAAACAAACAGTAGAGCTTGGCTGGTATGGTGGTATATACCTGCTTGGGAGGCTGAGGCAGGAGATTTGAGAGTTTGAAGCCATCCCTGACTTTGGACATCAGGATTAAGTCCAGAAGTCCACAGACTACTTTCATTTCTTCCCAGCTGGCCATACTGGGGATGTTCAGCCTTAAGCTGAACGTCTTTTAAAAAATACATTATATTTATTTATTATTTGGGGGTGGCAATCTTCTAGAGGTCAGAGAACAACTTGTGGAAATCACTTCTCTGCTTTGATTGTATGGAATTGAATGGAGCTGGGGAAACTACTGCCTCCTAAAGTTTGGTACTTGTTTTTTTTTTTCTTTTCTCAAGACAGGGTTTCTCTATGTAGTTTTGGTCCCTTTCCTAGACTGGTTCTGTAGACCAGGCTGGCCTTGAACTCACAGAGATCCACCTAGCTCTACCTCCCGAGTACTGGGATTAAAGGCGTGCGCCACCATTGCCCAGCCAGTTCAGTACTTCTTGAGAGTGATTTAGAGAACTCAGAAGTAAAACTGCCTTTATTTGCAGATGGTATGCTTTCTTGTGTAGAAAATCTTGAGGAATCTACAAACATTGCTAGAACAATAAATGCATTTGCCAAGTTCAGAGGACTCAGGATAAAAAGTACAAAATGAATTCAGAAAACCATCAAACAGCAAAATATTTAAGATTTACACATAGGAAGCTCTAAAACACAGCTTAATGAAATTAACAGTTGTTAAAGTAAATAGCTATTCCATGTGCAGGTTTATGTGGTGGTCTGGGGGTTGATTTCAGGGCTTCATGTATGCAAGACAAATACTCTACAAGCCGAGCTATCTCTTTAGTCTCCAGTTTTGCTGTTTTTAGCTTACCCTATGCATTTATAAGTGACAATAGGAGTTATTAATATTTTGATAAATTTTGTGAAGGTCAGCACATCAGTAGTTCTCACATAGATTTTTTTTTAAAATACAGTTTTACATTAGTAGACAAGGTAATGTTTTTCATTATGGAGTCTTTATATATGT